CTGCTGGCCATTGAAAAATCTTGCTCAGTTGGGAAAGTGACTGGATATTGTTTCAATGACAATTCCAACCCAGATTTCCATTGATATAGTGCCATTCACAGCTCAGGACACCCAAAAAGCATTTAGCATTGAGTGGCTTCAATGTCTGGTCACCAATGTAAGAAAAAGTAGCAGCTGGTCTGCACTGAGCAAGCTTAATTTTTTTTATGATTTCTTAACGAAATTCATGGTGACATGTCAATTCAGATTCTACAGATGAGTCTGGATGGACTGTTAGCTCTAGAATGATACCACCTCAATATAATAGCCGTACAGTCACTGCTAAAAAAGTGTCCAGTTAACATATGATCGATTAACCACATCCTGAGCGCCAAACTTCTGCTTTTCCTTTCCCACATTTAGAGACCCAAGAGGCAAACCAAGCAGCTGCTTCAATCTGTCTCCACAGCTCCTTTCACCTGGACCAGTCACAAGAGGTTCTGGCTCCAGGGGGTGCCACACTGTGCCAAGCATGGTTGACCAGGGGTCCCTCCTGCCTGCTCTTATCGGCTTCCTCTGGCATGAGCTCAGACTGTTTCACTTCCTCCCTGGCCCATCAAGTCTGTGGACTTGAACCTGGGGCTCCTTGGTCAGAGGCAAGGGCACTATCCACCACCCTGCTACCATCCCACAAAGTCAAATCAGAATGGTCTGATTCAAACGGCCTGACAAAAGGCCACAAGGCATAGGTCATTCAGCCCATTGAATCCACTCTGCCACTCAATGAGATCATGGCTGATCTGATAATCCTCAAACACACTTTCTGGTCACTGGGCTCAAAACGTTAACTCTGCTTTCTCTCTCCACAGATGGTGCTAAGTTGCCGAGTTTCTTCAGCAAACTCTGATTTTCCGTCAGGTTTCCAGCTTCTGCAGTTCCTTGTTTTATATCAGTCAAGTCCACGTTCTTGCCTTGTCCCCAGAACCTTTCATTCCCTCCAAAGTGAAAGGGCCCTTGACTTATTTGGTGCTTATAGAGATCAGTACCAAGGGGAGTGCGCTGAAACTGGACAGCTTCTTCAAGAGCCAGTACAAGCACTATGGGGTGAATGGCCTCTTCCTGTGCTGTATGTTTTAATGATTCCACCTCTCAGCCCTTTGGTTACATCACCTCTCCGAGGAAAGCTATAATGGTGTTGGGGGCAGTCCACTAGGCTAATCCCAGGTATGGAGGGGCCATCTTAGGAGGAGAGGTTGAGTTATTTGGGCCTGTACTCATTAGAATATAAAAGCATGTGAGGTGACCTAATTGAAACATACAAGATTCTTAGAGGACTTCTCAGGGTAGATATGGAAAGGTTGCTTCCCCTTGAGGGAGAGTCTAGGACCACAGAGGAATATGTTGTCCATCCCTCAAGACAGAGAAGAGGACGAATTTCTTATTCCAGAGGGTAGTGAGTCTGTGGAACTCTTTACCACAGAAATACATAAAGGTTGGATATATTCAAGGCTGAGAGACAGATTTTTAATCAGTAAGGTAATCAAGGGTTATAGGGAAAAGGCAGGAAAGTGGAGTTGAGGATGATCAGATCATCCATGATCTCACTGCATGGTGGAGTAGATGCAAAGGACTGAATGGCCTACTAATGGTTTCTATCCAAGATTGAAACTGACAGTTCAGTGGATATTACTCTTGTTTATGAGTCAGAATGTTGTGAGGTCAAGTCTCTCTTTGGGAAATTTGGGATCAATGTGCATTGGCAGTCCAAGCAAAGAGCTGAGCGAGTGCTGACCTCTAGATCAGATGTAAATTGGGTAGGGAACAGCGAGGAACGCCCTGCCTCCTCTCTTGGAGGGGTGCAAACCTTCCTGCGACATTTGTTTGAAGGGCAGGAGGCCCATCTTTGGCGTCACGGCCACAACATTTATCCCTTTATTCGCATCACTAAAACCAATTGGGTCGGTGCTCTCGCATGTGTGAGAGATGGAGAGAATGTAGCCACAGAACTGGGCGAGGTCGGGATAGAGAGCGCCTCCTGTTGACAGCTGAAACCGAGCTGATTCTGGAATGTCAGCGGTTTCCATGGGCCCCGTGTGACAGTTATGGGGCCTTTCTTCCCGGTCATCTGGGCAACAATAAGTTATCCGGGTTCTACTGCGTCCAAAATCACTGCTGCATTGTCTCCATTGCAGAAACAAAACGCCAACCATAAAAAGGACATCTCTGGGTTGGAAAACCTTTATCTTCATGACCTCAGCATGTCCTAAAGTCACCACTCTCTCATTACAGGCAGGACTTATACAATTAAAAGTAGGGCCTTGGGTAGCGTTGCAGAACAGAACAAAGAACAAAGAAAATTACTGCACAGGAACAGGCCCTTCGGCCCTCCAAGCCTGCGCCGATCCAGATCCTCTATCTAAACCTGTCACCTATTTTCCAAGGATCTGTTTCCATCTGCTCCCTGCCCATTCATGTATCTGTCTAGATACATCTTAAATGACGCTATCGTGCCCGCTTCTACCACCTCCGCTGGCAAGGGAGACCTAGGGCTTCAGGTACATAATTCTTTGAAGTTTGCGTCACATGTGGATAGGGTGGTTAGTACGCTTGCCTTCATTGCTCAGACCTTTGAGTGTAGGAGCTACGAAGTCATGTTGAGGTTGTACAGGACATTGGTGAGGCCTCTACTGGAGTACTGTGTCCAGTTCTGGTCTCCCTGTTATAGGAAGGATATTGTTAAGCTGGAGACGGTTCAGAAGATGTTGCTGGGACAGAGGATTTGAGTTATAAGGCGAAGCTGGAGAGGCTGGGACTTTTCTCACTGGAGCACAGGAGGTTGAGATGTGACCTGATAGGAGGTTTATAACATAATGAGGGGCATAGATAATGTGTGAATGACAGGTGTCTTTTCCCTAGGGTGGGGGATTTCAAGACCGGGGACATATTTTTAAGGTGAGAGGAGAGAGATTTCAAAAAGACGGTGGGTTGGGGGGAGGTGGGGGAAGTTTGGTAATTTTCTTTTTACGCAGAGAGTGGTTCGTGTGTGGAATGTACTTCCAGCGCAAGAGATGGTTGTGGGTACAGTTACAACATTTAAAAGACATTTAAGTATGTGAATAAGAAATGTTCGGAGGGTTATGGGCCAAGCGCAGGCAGGTGGAATGAGTTTGGTTTGGGATTACGGTCTGCATGGACTGGTTGAACCGAAAGGTCTGTTTCCACGTTGTACGATGAAGGATCATCTAGACTCAAAATGTCAGCTTACTTTCCCTCCACAGATGCTGCCTTTTGAATTTTCTTGTTTTCAGTACAGATTCCAGCATCTGCTGTAATGTGCTCCTACAGTGTATGACCCTGTCATAGAATCCCTACAGTGTGGAAACAGGCCCTTTGGCCCAACAAGTTCACACCGACCCTCAGAACATCCCACCCAGACCCATCCCCCCATAACACATCTAATCTACACATCCCTGAACACTATGGGGCAATTTAGCACAGCCAATCCACCCAGCCTGCACATCTTTGGACAGTGGGAGGAAACCGGAGCACCCGGAGGAAACCCACGCAGACACGGGGCGAATGTGCAAACTCTGCACAGACAGTCGCCCGAGGGTGGAATCGAACATGGGTCCCTGGCGCTGTGAGGCAGCAGTGCTAACCACTGAGCCACCATGCCGCCCTATGACTGGTGGTGGTTTAACCTGAGGGTCACCATGCCTCAGGCGAGGCGAGAAGCTGAGAAAGTGGAACCATCATGGTAACCTCAGCCAGTGCTGGAACTGAATCTAGAACATCGTGGTGTCCAACTGTACATCACAAACCAGTACTGCAGCCAATAACCACCCAGGTGAAGGCCATGAGATCTGCTCTATAAATGCAGTCTACATTTTAACTTTCACACAACCACAGGAGATGTGAAATGACTAGAACATGAATGACTGAGATTGCCTGTGCAGGTGAGTGGTGGGTGGGGTGTTGTAAGGGCAGAGAAGGGGCTGACCTTTCTGTTGGGGGTAGGGAGCCATTCCCTATAACTGTTAAGGCCAAGCCTCTGTGCATTTTCACACAGACACAGCGAAACAAAATGCACTCTTGCAGTCTGTGCGATGCAACAAGGCTACAGCGGCCAATAAATCATCTACCTTTTACACGCATATTTTTTCCATTACGTACCATCTGGCAAAGACGGATTTCTACAAAGTTTCAAGAAGCTTAAGGTCAGAAAATCCTACTGAACCGCAAAGGATTCCCAAACTTGCTGCAAGCAAAATATTCGCTTTCCCTGGCCGTGGCA